GTTTGGTGCTCATAACCATTTCTCTTTAACAAAGATATGAGTTGAATTCGTCAGTTATGATCTGAGTGCAAAGTTCAACATGGGCAAGTACTATGGGTAGTAATGTTTCAGTGGTTCTGTTCTCAACACTGAATAAAAGAACATTTTAGTGCCTCTATCTATGAGACCAAAACCCAATAGGTAGGAATACCCTGACTGGAACCCATGTGGTATTTTCTCTTCTCTACCCCATTTGCTTTCATCCATCTCCACAGTATGGCCAACACCCCCCAAAATAAATGGCTCATCTAGTAATGCTCGAGACATTAAGTCTCTGTATAAATTGTACCAATTGTACGATGTTGTCTCACAAACATCAAGCATTTTGAGAGCCAAGTGGGCAGGTACATCAATGCAAATCAGATACAATATCATGAGGAAAGTACCAAGACTAAGCCTCTGCCCTTCCCAGAAGCTACCTAATCTCACTGACCTTGTTTTTCTACATTTAGGACATCGCCAGTTATGGCCATCAGCGTTCTGTTTGTCTTTCTGCCACAACATATTACAATTGCATATGCTACATATTTGTGAGGAAGCCAGTAATTTGTTCCTTTTCATATAGTCAAGTGTTTTCTCAGAGTCATTGCAAATTGAAGCTATATCTAAAAACTGTAACTTCCATTTTGATTTAAACACACAATTACATCAGTGAATATCCTGTGAAATGCTTGAATGCCTCAACGGCCAGCCAGCATGTGTATTGCTTGGAATAAATTCCTGAAGATAAGATGGAACTGACCCACCAGTAAAGTCTCCCAACAAAGGTAAGACCATCAAGTCTGCTGATCACCAGAGTGTCAAATCCATTATGTCTAATTACTGCAAACTTGTATCTGTTATAACATCTTCCAAACATTTCATCAAATGAGGCTACGGCCTCGAACCTGCTTCACGTGCTAAACTAATCGCGAGTTTTCGGACATTCTCCAACACATAATGTCATTCAAACATGAATATATACCACGTCTGCACCATCAATTTATGAAAAAAGTCGTAAAAAAGTATAAATATGCACCAAAACTAAAACCACTTAAGCCCCGCCCACTCGTATGCATATTTTTTTATTTTTAGCGGTCTGCCGTTTGTGGGTGTGACGTCATACCCGAGAGTCCGTTCAGTGTGTTGACATTTCAGGAGTGTATACGCCATCGAGTTGAAAGTGACACGAAGCGCAATATTTTGAATGAAGCGTTGTTGTGGTTATGTATTGGAAACTGACAACAGCTCTACGAGTTTTGATGATTATCCAACTGCATAAACAACACGGATGTACATTTCCTGAGAAATTCTGTTTGACAAGAGGAAGGGCATAGATTGTTTACTATCGTCGTGCGGATTTTGTGAAACCCTCCACGCACGGTCATCTATGTTCGTTACACTTTTCGAAGAAGTGCTTTGAAAGAGACCTAACCTCTGGCGAAATATGGATACGAATAGGGGCCTACCTTTAGAATACAGCACCACAAACTTTAAAAATACGTCATTATTCCCTTTTACGTAATGTAATGTGATTTTGTTCGAAAGCACGTTCTCAAAACAATGCCCTATGACGCCTGCATGACAACACGGTTGTCTTGCTCAGCGATAAGCTGGTTCCCGGCTCCCTTTGCGCGCCATAACGTTCGACAAAGCTAGGAGCCGGTATAGGCTGCCATTTAAAACGCTCTGCTCGTTTATTTGACGTCACATCCGATTGGTCAATCTGGATTCCGTCTCGATGAAAGATCTATAAATCATAAGACTTGAAAAGTGAACGTTGTGCGAGAATTGCGCTTACCTGGTCCTGGATCTGCGTATGGCTATAAAAGTACATAGAAATGTAGAATATTAAATTTCCTATCCGTTGGTATTAAATATAAGTGCACCTACCTCGGCCGTGCGAGAAATATACACTGTTAACTGTTGTCCAAATCTTTGTTATGCGTTAAAAAGCAGTAAATATCTCCGCTTTTGATTGTGTATTGATGAAAGCACTGTGCTACGAATTTTTTAATTTGGCATCGTTACGGAAAGTGTGAGCGAAAAAAATACAGCCTGATATCTGAACTACATAAGTATATATGAAATGGGTGTGTGTGCTTATGCATAACGTCTTAGATTCCCATATTCTCCTGTTAGTGTAGATGTATTTTGACTAATTTTGCATCATTATTAATAGAGTATACTAGCCATATCTTCAAATGTAATGAAATTACTGAAAATAATACCACTGGATGCGGAAGTATTTTGTGACGCAGTTTCATAGGATCTGAAAAGTGAACGTTGCATTGGATCTACGGTCCTCCGACCATAACATTATGTTCAGATGTAGAATACATTTAGATCTGCTGACACTTGTCTAAAGGTACGAGACTTTGTATACATCACTAACATTGTCAATTTCCTATTAAAAGTATGTTCAAACCAACTAATTATCAAACGTTCATAAATCTATAAACTACACAGTGTAAGATCTGAATTGTGATGATTTGTTTACATTTTAAACAAGTAGAGTTTGCTCCGCCTTCGTTTTCACACCTTATCTATATTGTTCAATTTCATATAACCACTTTGTATTGATGACAAGACCATATTGCTTAAAAAGCCTACCCATGTTGATTTAATATTTGGTGAAAATTGATGAACAAAGAGTTTGCCGCGGTGTTGATGCATTGCATCAAAAGTTTTCTTGTTGCTGTACTAAAGTGTCTTCAGGACACATTCAGCATTTTCTAAGTGAATCATTCAATACTTATATATCGCCACAAAATATTATAAATTCATTTTCCGCCTTACTACTGATTTTGTGCCAGTGTTGGCACAACTACCAACTCTAAGACACACATACCTTTCTAACGTCATCCGCGAGGAAAGTTTAGAATATTTGCAATACGAGATTTAATTTGTATGCGTGGCTCGACCGATGTCCACATGTATAAATTACCTGCATATTTGTGTCGTTCATACATCAGTGATGATTTTATTCGCTCACAGTTTTCTGACAAGCATATAATAAAAATCTTTGTCGCATATGTAATTAGGGTATGTATTTGAAAAGCGACGATCCTTTCACGCAAATAAAACGAATATTTACGTTTACTATTTGTTTTCGTGAATATTGATATCAAATATGTACAATAACAGAAGGTAAGAATTTTGAAAAAGAAGTTTCCAGAAAATAAGAACAATTTATATTTTCAAAGGTCTTTCAAGCGCCTGCATGACCGATTTTTGAAAACGATACAAAATGTGTTTTGGACGTCTTCCGACGAAGGGACAGCGCGGCCGTCTAAAAATAGCAACCAATGGAACATGACATAACATTGTCAATGTTGGCTTTTCGTAGGCCTTCTCAGCCATCGTCTCTTTGGCCTGTACCGGCTCGTATATTGCGATATGCGAGACGGGGCCCAGCTTACCTCAGCGAGTGCGTATAAGCTCCGCTCACTGGTGTTTCATCTCTACGAGCTATGTCATTGCATAAGCCGTACGATGTTGAGAGTTTCCAGTAGTTGTATACCGGCGGATGCGCAATATTTTGCAAGCACCAGTTTGAGATATTTTTCTTTTTTCACTAATACGCTCATATTTATTTGTATTACGGGCTGCTGAGGTGTTATGTTTTGTGTATTTTGTATATTTTTTTAATTTACATATATATTTTTGTCATTCAGTAATTTGCACCATTACATAGAAAAGTGTTTTATTTGTATTTTATTTTTCGAAGCGGTAATAATGCATTACACTAGACACGTCAGTCGTGTTTGTGCCGGTTTGGTCAATGCATTCTATTTATTAGGATTAATTCAAGGGATTGGGGTTAGGGTTAGGGCTAGGACTAGGACTAGGGTTAGGGCTTAGGGTTAGAGTTAGAGTTGGGGTTGGGGACCTAATGCAATATAGTAGGTACATGTCCGGTGGTTCGGTCAATGCATTCTATTCATGTGTACCACGCCTGAGTGTCGGTTCCTTTGATCTTATCCGTGGTGTATGTGCTGGAAGACAACAGTTTTGTCTTGAAGGCAGATTTCGTCTTCCAAGCAACGCCCCGCGGCAAGAGGACTGAACTCAAAATTGTTCAACATTGTACACAATTTATGTCAGTCAAGGTTTGCAACAAGGAATTGTAACTTCTACAGTTTTAATGGTTTCAAATGAATTTACAAGCTGAAGAGTGAGCTGGGAAAGTCCCTCAAATGCATGAAATTCATTTTCCATAACTGATGCGATCTGTGACAGTGTGAAGTCGTCAATGTCCTCGTCCCACACTACATGTGCACTCATTTTGGCAACTAGACTGAGAATGAAACGGTCGTTAAAACTTTAAATTTTTTCCCGCTTCCCATACATAATAGGCGTGGTACAAGTCAGTTAGCTCATCCAATCCTCGATCTGTGCTCGTATACACCACAGTTTTGCCGGAGTTGATTGACAGGTGTTGAGGAAGCTCGAGCAAAGCTCTCGCGTCTCCCACCTGTCAATCAACTCCGGCAAAACTGTGGTTTATACGAGCACAGATCTCGGTTTGAAATGATCTAACTAATACTAGGATTATTTCAAGGGGTTAGGGTTTAGGGTTAGGGTTAGGGACCTAATCCAACATAGCAGGTACATGTCCGGTGTAATACGTGAGTACCATTTGTTGTTTTTCCTTTTTGCATTGTAATACTTTTTTTTCACACAAAAACGGGAAACCAAAAAAGTCGAAAGTACATTATGAAATGGGTTAATGTAGAAATTTTGGGCTAATGGAAATTGGCCTGGAATTTGCACTCAAGCCTCTTTCACACGCAACATAAATTTTGTAAAGTAATGATTCGAAGGCTAACTCACCCTCGAGCCGTCACTACACATGCTCATGTCTCCCTCGTTCCTTAGTGCGATCCACATTATCCTTACAGTGTTCCCTACATCACTTTTCTGTCACAAAATCACCGATTTATATAAAAGCGCGTCATTCATGCATGCACCGTGAACAGTGTTCACGAAATAGTTTGTAGTCCTGCAGGACATGGGTCCTGTGACTCTCAGAAATCTGTCTGACCCACTGAAAATTCACAGGACCCAAATTAAATACACAACAACAATATCTGAGCGCAGTAAATGGTAAATATTAGCAACAAAATTAAAAGATAACCTCCCTCCATAACAATACACTTTAGTGCACATTAAATTTACAATGTACTGTTTCATTTATCAAATGGCAATCTCAATAATAGTTCATGATTTTAGCAAATGTCTGTTCTTCATCCACGAAATCCGAACAGTAATCGCTGTCTTCATCGGGATCGATGGCTTTGTTGAAGACGGCGATCTCCTCTTCAATGTCTGACTCTTCTTCCTCCTCCTGCTCCTCAGCATCTTCCACATCTTTCTCCTCCACTACACAGATGACTTCAGATGTCTTGACAGCTGATTGGTTGTGCTTGCCTCTGTTATAGTTAAGAGACCTAGCCCGTGTAGGTGTTACCTGAATTTAGATGAGCATTCAGTCAACCCAAACATGAACTCAAATACAGTACCTGACAAAAATGTTGACAAATTCAACAAGATATACGTACCAACCACCTGTCAATGGCCTTCTCAGGATCAAAGTCTGTAATTGATGGGGCTTGTAGCTTCACAGTCATCAGAGTGTTGAGTGTCGATGATCTCATCCTACATCTCCTGCTGGTCTTGATCAGCTTCATCTGCGAGAAGGAAGTCTCACATGAAACTGATGTTGGTGGAAGACTGTGCAGCAGGTCCATCAAGACCAGGAGTTCAGGAAACTGCTCTGCATGCTGTCGGTGAATATCAGCCCACTTCTGATGTGGGAGGTTTGATCCAAATCTAAAACAAATGTAATGGAATACGACGACCACAATCTTAAGATTAAAGTCACTTTCAAACCAGCCTTATTATGTTGTACTTCATTCTATATGTCTTTATCAGTATTTTAAGGTATCAATTCAAATGACAATATGCTTTTCCTAAACTCTCTTTTGAGTACACAATATAGCTGACAGTTAGACACCCAGTATGCTTACAAAATGTTTCCATAAACTTTCGGAGAAGAGGAATTGCTTACGTTCAACATATGTTAAATATACTTACCTTTTGTAAAGTATTTTCTTCATCAGTCTCTATTCTTGATCAACAACGTCCTTTGTTATTCCTGCATTGGTTAGAGTGTTGCTGAATTGCCGGAATATGACACAGATATCACTGTCACAAAACTCTGAAATTGATCATTTTCATTTAAAATTTGATGTGTTTCATAAGATAGATAATTACTTTTTAAGTTTGATTTGATAATTTGCGGCGGGGGATTATGTCACCTTAGTGCCAATGCTTGTTGTGAGTAAATTCCATTATCAAATTTATCTTGCCTTGCGAATCTTCAACAGATGGCCATGACCGCAGACAAGCAATCTTTGTGGCAGCAAATATATCCGCTGATTCAGAGAGCTGCATGGCGAACCTCTCCTCTACGGCCTTCATAGTCTTGTCTACTAAATCAGACTTGTAGGTCATGGCTGGATAGCTACCTTTCAACTTCACATCCTGATAACTTCCTTGTTCCAAAACTTTGTGAAGATCCTATTGCACTGGCTGAAATGCAAACATAATGAATCATGATACAGATGCCTTATGATTGAACTGTACAAAGAAAATTTTACTTAATATCCTTTAATTTCTCTGTGTAATTGACAGAATAAAAACAGCTTAATATATAGATAGAAATAATCAAATTGGGCCACTAAAGTAATTCAGCAGGTTATATGTTATGAACAAATTATAAAAGTGCCTTTCTTTGCAATCTTGAAGCATCTCCGTAGTAGCCTCAGTCCAAAGTAGGACATCAGAGAGAGAGTAGCATTGTTCCTCTGTAGTTGCAGTGAGAGTTTCTGGAGGGGCACAAGGAGATTCTGAAAAATGTAATGTTAATTAATGCACCCAATGATTTAACGATTTCTTGAAATATTAACTTTTTATGCAGTTTGATGTATTGTGGAAATGCAATGTTTCACAATTATTTGAATAAAAACATATTTAAAACAAAATCATACCTGAAGGAAGAGCATGAAAGCTACCAGATGTCTGTCCAGGACCGTCTTCGCTAAGCCTTCAGCCTTAGCATTGCCGTGACTAGCTGTTGACAGGTGGGCCTCCAATGCAGGATATGACCGGAAAAATGCAGTCAAGCCACGTGAGAGGTGGGACAGCCATCTGGTACCAGTCACTCTAGGAGGAAGAAGTCCATTAAAACCTAAGGACTTCTTGATGTGGACAAGTCCTGTCTTCTGCTTTGGTTTCAGGTAGAATTATTGAAGACCTATGAGTAAAGTCATGCACTTATCATAGAGTGCTGTCTTCCTGAACACATCCCAGAAGGCCAACTCGAGTCGGTGGCATAGGCAGTGAACAGAAACCATCTCTGGAAAGTCCTCTTTTAGACGTGTTGCCAGACCTGTTTTGGAACCAATCATGTTCGATGCACCATCACTTCCCATTCCAACTAGCTTATCTGAAATACACATTGTGTACAAATGATTGCTTGAAAACTATATAGGCATCACTTGGAGCAAGGTTATTGTTATATGTAACTACTAAATTGTCTATCAAATTTGAAACTGAAAAGGTACAAACAAAGTGAAGCTAAAAATATTCCAAAAAGTTCCATAACATTTGAGAATATATTTTGGAAAGTTGTAATTTGACATCCCTCTCAATAGCTTAATTATATCTTTCAACATTGAGTCCATTTTCTGTTACTGGTTATATCCACAGTGGTCTCTTATTTTATTCAGTCGAATATAATTGTATGCATGTTAGGTGAAAATAATTATTATTTTCAGGGATATAAAAAAAAAGATGTAATATGGTATTATGTGCTGTTGGGATACAGTTCATTAAGATGATAGCTTTTAATTACCTTTTGCAAAGCTGTGTAGGCCAGTAGACTCCAAGATGTTTGTGACATAAAAGTACAAATCCGATGAACATGTGCTTCTTGGACTTCCTATATTGAGAAAATTCTCTGTGACAACACCTTTGTGACATGATCTGACATACATGGACTCTTGTTCATCGCCACTTATGTCTGTGCTCCCATCCATTATGAAGGAAAAAAAAGGTGCATGTTCCAAGTTGTTAATGACTTCATCATGTTGTGTAGCAGCTATAGCATGAATAAAATTCAAAGCTGCCCTATCATTAAGGTATGTGTCTCCAACTTCTAGAGATTTAACTTTGTCCAGTTCACACAACCATTTGAAATCCGAAAGGGGTCTATTTTTTACTGCAACTGCATGTGCATTTCTAAATAGAAAAGTCATATTTGTTTTGTCAGCACTTTTTAATTTCTGTAGAGCTCTCCCAGCCTTTGAAAACGCTATTTCATCACTGGAACTAGTCTCGGCTTTGAATAATTCAAATGAAGGAATGTGAATTCTACTCAGTTCGTGATCGTCACAGCCGATTTCTTGAAGTTTCTTACCCAGAAATAAAATTCTGATCAGAACTAGGCCTAGCTGAATTCTTGCTTGCATTATAGTTAACACAAATGTCGCAAGTCATTTTACCATCGGCGAATGTCAGCCAACTTCTCCCGTTTTGCCATGACGGATTGAACGAACGGTCCGGTCGTTCATAATTAGACCGTTTCTCTCATGATTTAAGTTCATCTGTAGGTAGACGCTTCTTTGCAGGGGCCTTTGAAGGCCTAGCACCATCATAATATTTGAGGAAATTCAACATGTCCCTTCTATTTATGTCATGACACGTCGTGAATCGCAAAGTTACGGAAAACCGGCCATTCTTGTTGTCACAGTATCTAACCTAAACTTTCCGTATCGTGGAATCTGATTGGTTGTTGAAAAGAAGCTGTCATGAAAACAGCCAATCAGATTGCACGATACATTAAATAGTACATAACCTTGCTAGCTGACCTTGATCGATCGATAAAAATAGCATCAAACGTGTTCCACTTAATATTCCATGAAAAACAACAAAAGCCGTCATGTTTTATTTTATTTATTGATGAAAACATATTAATGCAGGACCTTCATTGATGTAATATCCTGTTGGACACAAGGACCGACAGTTCTACAATATGCATCGGACCATCGTAACTTCCATCGGAAATGTCCGACGGACCTATGCTTTTCGTGAACACTGCGTGAAATCTACGTCTGAAACCTGACGTCAACAACCCTTTTCAGTTTGAGGCATATCGGCTCATTCCACGCCACACGTTAATTTGTAGATTACGGAATGGGACGAGTGTGCCAAATGGCATCGGATCCATTCGGCAATTGTCCGTAGAATAAAATCACGAGACACCAAGTCTACCCGTAGCATTCGTAATTGTCCGTGACCTATTCGACTCTCCGTTCATTTCCGTGACGTCACAGGAATGACTCGATACATTTGCACATTGTGCAACAGTGTGGACGTAGCTCAGACGGGTTCGCGTCCGACGGCTTCTCACAAACTGGTTGCTTGTCTTAATGACACGTCACCTACGGCAGAGATCGTCCTCACGAGAAGTTGTGGTGCTGTATTCTAAAGGTGCTCCCGAATAGGCAAAACCTAAACTTCATAAAGGATGCTATATATCGGGCATTCCTTGCGACATTCCAAGCAAACACAGAAGCCGAAATGTCAACTTTGGACTGAGACCGAGAGAGTTGCATTCCGGACGCGACGTTAGTTGCAGGTGAGTTTTAAGATGTAGTTGTTTTGGAGCAACATAAACACTCCAGTAGCTAGCTATATAAAGCAATAGTTGATGTAAAAGTACGTCATAATTTGCGCTCATGTCCTATTTTCGATCAGGGATATATTTTCACAGCCACTGTAACTGTTATTCAGTAGAACCAGTCATCTATTTCCCTAGGCGTGTGTGTTGTGGTGTGTGTGTAAGTGTGTTTGTGGAGGAAATTGGGATGGGGGTGGGCATGGAAAAAATAGAAATTGCAACATATGGGTGCAGTGGTGAGAGAGAGCACATAATTATTAAAAAATAATTAAAAATAAGTCATATGAGATAATTATCCACCAGGGACTGGTCCCCAACTATGTTTATATGGTATGTGAATTGAGGGAGGGGGTGGATGGAGTGTTAGGGCATGATTAAAATGTTGACTCTCACTCTTTCTCTCTTAAGGCAATGTACAATAAATAAAATGAAAATGACTGCTCTGTACAGGCATAAAACTAAGGTATTTATGGACCCCTTGTAAAAACATCCTGGCAGCTGTATATATAGGTAACTTTTAACCCACTTTCAAAAATGGGAAATCAGGGAAATATGTTCATTCAGATAATGGATTTGTTTGTTTTGGCAAATGTAAAAATGCTACTTTAATGCTATTTTTAGGATGTGCATGGCAGCATTTCACATCAATGAAAACAGCCTAAATGCCCTAGCAGTGACCAAGACTGGAGAACCCAAGTGGGCAATCAGCTTCCCCAAAGCCTAAACCAAGAGGCCAAGCCAGTGATCAAGAGACCAACATGTGGTAAATACAATTCAGACAATCAATAATTTTTGCCTCCTTGCTCCTTTTGTTGAACTGGTACACTGTTCCTATTACTGTATGTTTTTTTCCCTAACTAATGAGTCAACACTAAGTCTTGTTTGCAAAGACACTGGTTTTTAATCCTCATATATATTTTGCCTCTCAGCATTTGTTAAGACAAAAGTACTTACTTTATTAGTGCAGATTTCAAAGAAAATTATTATTATGATTGCCAAAACAAAATATACTGAAGTTGTGTTTCAAAATGTCTCTAATTCAATGTCAAATTTATTCACAGAGTATCTGGAATTCCTCCTCAGGGCCATTCTCGAGAGAAGAAACATGTTTCCTTCCGACATCCTTGCAGGACACAACAGGCCTATTTTTCCAGGATATTCTGCCAGACACTTTCATTTATAACTAGTAAACAGGAACTGGTGAATTCACTGACATCAAGATATAAAATGAAATCATGCAGTTGTGCCTAGGATGTGAACTGAAACCAGTTGTGCCTGATGTCTTAAGGTCTATTGTATTCCGGTTTGAATCCTGGGACTTGTTCAGATGGTAAATGTTTCCAAATTGCAGTCACCACTGTGCCACATGGTGTTATTGGAGAGCAATCTTGTTTTCTTAGGCTTTTACCAGTCCAT